TTTTTTATAGATAATCACACTAGGACAAATTTAGAAACGTAAAATATATAACAAGTATTATAATATAACAGATAAATAATAATCTCGGTAATGCAATAGAATTCCTAGGTAGATCATATTAAGAAATTGGGTTTGGAAGGGTTGAAATATAATTGTATATACATGTAAGTTGAATAAATAAACTGGAATGAATACACAGGTACACGAGGAACAAACAAATTTTCAAATATTCTTTGGAAATTGTAAAACACAATGGACCCACGCTATATTTCAAACGTGCATGTATGCAACATACATACACACACACACACATACATATACGATAAACACAATGCACAAAGTAACATTCTTTAGAACAGCCAGAGCAGTACCACAACCCCCATCGTTCGTTTCTTTTGGTAAAAATGTTAGAATGAGAAAATAAAGGGAAAAAAGTGGTAGCAATAGTTTATGGTATTGGTTGTTGTTGGTTGGGTTTTGATGATAGTGGTGATGTGACGAAAGAGTATTATGGGATTAAGAAGAATGAAAAAAATGAGAATAAATTCTTTGTGTAGTTTTCTTTTATTCCATGTCGTTTACTACTTCATATTATACTTTTGAGAAATATAATGATCGACATGAGCTTTCTTTTATGTTTAAGTTTAGACACATATAAATATTTTATTGTGATATCTATTCATATATGTACCTTTTAATATTTCAATATCTTTATTTAAATATATGTACATATGTAACTATACCACAATGTTTTTTTTTTTTTTTTCATTCGATTTGTATAGTTGGAAATTTTATTTATTTATTTATATATGTATATATATATTTTTTTGTTGGTTGTCTTCAATATGGCGGTCGCGTGAAAATTTGATTACACTCGGTTTTCTATATTTTTAAATATATCGAATGTGATTCGGTTGAAAAATGTGATAACAAATTAGTTTAATTAATAATAGTAATAATAATAAACGATACTAATTGCATATACAATTCGATGAAATTTATTTGAATGTTTCCAAATTAATATCGTTTGAAAAAGATACCATAAAAAGTGTATTAACCAGTGTGAAATATACATTGTTTTTTAATTAGTAAAAGATTTATCGAATTATTGCGAGAACATTGTCGGTGCATTTATTAGTTCCTATGAAAAAAAAAATTTGAAATATTTAATTTGAATTTAAAAAAAATAAACACAAAACTCTTATGAATTATAATTATTTTATTAACAGTTTCTTTTTTTTTAGAAATACAAATTCTCTCGTAAGAAGGTTGAATTAAAACAAAATTGGCTAATATTTTAATGGCCTTCTGTAAACAAATAATGTCATAATTTCGGAAAATTTCAATATTTCCGTCAAATTATATGTACGCGTAAAAGCCCCTTTTTATTCTTCTTTTTTAGTTTTTTTTTTTTTTATCAACGTCGAGTAATTTCCAAGAGAATTAGTATATAACCGGTGAGTAAAGGAATAATCTTTAAATTCGTCCTACTAATTTATCAACATTGTAAAAAGCTTTTCCACGCTTACGCGAAAATATCTCAATTTTCTGTTAACATTCTCTTTGAACGTACATTATATATATACATACATATAATTATATATATATATATATAAACTCGTCAAGTAGATAATACGAATTAATAATGAACCTGTCGTGTAGAAAGGAAAAACTGGAAAGAAAATGTAAAATTGTATTAAATAAAACATCCGTTAGATATTACACACACACATATTTTATTACAAATCATATTTTTCTATTTTCTAACATAAAAACACACACATACTTCTCCCATATATATATATACTATATACTTATATAGTAAATAGATAGGGGGATGTAATCAAAAAAGTTTTTTTCCCGATTTAATATTTTCTTTTCTGATCCCCTAAAATATACCACTACCCACTCACATACACCTACACACATTGAAAAATGAGCTGGTATATTTACTTTAATGAGGAAATGAAAAACATCACCGATATATAAGTTTATATGTTATCATCGTAAACGCATACACATTTCTACACACACATACACACACACGCACACACACACAGAGAGAGAAAGAACATCGTTTCCTCCCTTCACTCTTTCTCACTGTTTTCTTTGCTAAACCGCAATCAGAAATATTTCGCATCTCTTTCTATCTATCTATATCATTCTATCTCATACTATAACACCGTTTCTATATAAAAATTGTTTGGGCGCGATGAGAGTTAGGTACCGTTAATTAATACTAATGCGAACGTGCCTCATTAACGGTTTCTTTCATTAAATATTCACACTAGGCGAACGGGTTCTGTGTATGGTCCTTTTCTTGCTGCATCACATCGATTCAATCGCATTGTAAAAGGGTCGCCAAATGAAAACTTGTCGTTTCATACCCTTTTACCTATTGCACGTATTTCGTATCTCTCTTCTCTTTCTTTTTTTCTTTTTTTCTTTCTTTCTTTTTTGGTTCACGAGAGAGATGTTGCTATAGTTCACAATGAGAATGAGTAAAATGAATTTCATTTATCTCCTCGGTATCATTGTTTTTAATTTATTATTATGTTAATATAGTACGAGACGTATTATATTAGCTGGATAAGAAACAGAGTGTGTTCGATAATTTTCTAATTGATAAAATAATTTATAATTTAAGGGGCACACCTAGTGTGACAGCCAAAAAAAAGGCGATTTTTGGGAATTAAAAAAAAAAA